TAGGCATTCTCTCTGAAATGCTCACAAACAACTCATGCATTCTAGCTATCTCATAGGATTAAATAAAACATGTTAAATGGGTTAGTGCAGTGTCCAGGATATAGACACATTCACCAAATGTTATCTATTGTTGTTAATCCCTGTTTGGAAGATGACCAAAACCCAAGAATGAGCGCCAAGCCAGAGTTTGTTTAACTGGTAAGTTGCCTTCGAAGACGGACATATTCTGATTCCAGCTCCCCCGTTCCCAGGGTGTCTCTGGTCCAATCACGCTGTGTTCTCTCCAATGCCCTGAGAAACATCTCAAAAGAACTGGTGAGACTTGGACACAGACACAGGCCAATGCCTGCACCGTGGGGACACTGAGGGACAGGATCCAGTGACAAGCGTGGGAAGGGCTAAATGTGGAAGCAATCTGCTGAAGGAGGGCAGGGCCAAGTAGCATTAAGGGGACAGCTGGCTGGTGTGGACTGAAAGGGAAGGAAAGGTCCTGAGGGAAAGATGACACTGTAGGAAGTAGAGAGGAGCCTCAGGAATCAGATGCAAGGTCTGCTAGTGACTGAGGGCTTATCCAAAACCAGTTACCTTCATTCTGTTTTTTTTTTTTCCCCCCAAAGTCCTCCGGTAACCTATTAAGATACTAACTTTTTTCTACTTCAAGGGGATTTAGCTTGCAGAAGCCCAGAAACCAATGACCACCACATACTGCCTGCCTTAGAGAAGGCTTCCGATACAATTTGTGTTGAATGAATGAAATGTTTTTGTGTGCACTTGATTTCACTTCCGTGTCCTGATTATGCTTTGTGGTATCACTCTTCTGTAGGTCCAACGTCATCTACTTTATTATGTCCCTCAAAACTCTGCTGCTAGGGTGTGTGGATGAGCAGTGCCTGCCGGACAAGATGAAATTCAGTCAACGTAATTTGCACAAACATACTGATATTAGAATTAGAAATTCAGTCAACGTAATTTGCACAAACATACTGATACTAGAATCGAATTTGTATATGGTTTTCTCTGCGTGGTGTCTGCTGCTCACAGATCTCATTGTTTCACTCTTTCAAAGTTGCCCCTAACTCTGGTTTGCTCCCCATTTTCCAGACGTGCTCTTCACATTTAATGCTCTCGCGACTCCTAAGCGGTAACTTGGAAGGTTCCGCTGGATTTTTTTTTTTTCCTCAAGAGTTTACATCCGTAGGCAAGTCCTGAAATTTTCTAAACCTCAGTTTCCTCATGCTTAAAATGAGAACAAGAGGATCCAGCGCCGCGTTGCCTGTGATAAAGGAGATCGTGCACGTCCTCGTGCATTTCCAATCTCAGCTCTCTCATGCACCATCTGTGTGGTCTCGTGTGAGTCCCCTCCTATTCAGGCTCTGATTCCTCTTTTGTGAGATGTGGCAAGGGGAGAAATTCTGCAGTGCGTGGGTTCAGTCTAAGGTCGTTGTGTCCCAGCTGGGCTTGCAGCCTGGCTATGTGCCCTCAGGCCCTTCTGGGTCTCCCTAGGCCAGCCTCAGCTTTCTTAGCTAGGAAGTGAGCATATTAATGGCATCTGACTAAGGATCAGTGATGCTTATCCAGGAGAGGTGTTGGCTGCCAAGGACTAACACATTCTAGTTCTCTTATAGTGGAGATGGGTGACAGCCTTACAGATGATGTCACCAGCTGTTAAGATCTCCTGGCCCCTGCTTATCTAGCAACTTTTCTAGAATTTGGCTCTCCATATAGCTTGCCTGTGGCGCAACTCAAGTTATTTCCATTTACCCGAAAGCAAATCTTAGTGTTTGCATTTGGAGTGATTTGGGTTCAATTGTGGGGGAAACAGATACATGATTTATGCTTTGTTTGGAGACTCCTGGCAGGTCCCCCACTGTGGAGCTGCCGATGGGAGAGTGTATCTCCTTTTCTAGGTGGCAGAAGTGGGAATCAAATCTGGGTCTCTGTCACTTGAGAGCTGAATGGGGAAGATATTCTGCCTCTTGTCAGAATCTTCGTGTTTCTCCTTCAAATCTACAAGCAGTACTGGTCATGGACATCAGAGTAGGTTGTAAAGGCACTAACTAGCCAGGCTTTTGCAAAGGATAACTGTCCTCACTCTGATGCCTCATAATGGTTACCGGGCTGCCCATACGGAAATTGTAGTTTTGGACAATGACCAGTACTTGAGATACAAATTCTTGTATGTTTTGGGGGCTCTCTTTTGCTTTTATGATATTATGACAAAGTGAAATATGTTGGGGCACCTGACTGGCTCATGGGATGGATCGTGGGACTCTTGATCTTGGCATTCTGAGTTCGAGGCCCACATTGGGTGTAGATTGCTTAAAATCTTTCAAAAACAAACAAACAACCCAAAGTGAAATATGCAACTTCTGGGTCAATCTTTGAAAGTTTAAATCCTCCCTTCTTTAGGTCTTTATCACTTGCTAACGTGGGTAATCTTTAGCATCAGATCATACTGTCCCACAAATATGCACTGTAACTTCAAATAATCAAGTTGTGCCAAGTATTCATTTTAACAAATGAGCTACAGCCTGTATGTCCTATCTTAGTTGGTGGCACAAACTTGACCTACTCAGCCCCAAACGTGAGACTTTGTGACTCTTCTCATTCCACTTCAACCTCATCTTGCTGACTTAACCTCCAATGTGTTTCCGATCCTGTCTCTGCCTCTTCGTCCTTGTCCATTGGCCTAGTGCATCTTCATTTCTTTCCTATTTAAAAGGTCATCTAAGTGGTTTTCCTGCCTCTTGGTCCTAAGACTCTTAAATCAATCCTAAAATTAAAACGGACCCTTCTTGGCTTAGAACCTTTCGATTGCTCCCAATTTTAACTTTTCTCTTCTCAGTTTTAACTTCTTAGTGGGTCCCAGCCACACCTCCAAAATACCCCCAAAGAGTCATACTAGAGTTCCTTAAACTTGAAATGTTACTCATGTCTTGGCCCTTTGTTGTCCAGATGCCTGGAATCCCGTTCCACACAGAAACTGGGAAGGCTCAAACCTCTCTAACAACTCTCCCTCCCACAGGCAGGTTGATCTCCTCTCTTTGCCCCAAATTTTGTCATTATTTGCTTACACCTGTTTCTCCTAAAAGACACTGAAGTCTCTGATGGCAAAGAAGTGGCTCATTCTTTTTTGGTCTCCATCACTTGATAATGTTTGCTGAATTAACAGGTATAAGAACACATTACTGATGCAGGGCGCCTGGGTGGCTCAGTCCTTAAGCGTCTGCCTTCGGCTCAGGTCATGATCCCCGGGTCCTGGGATCGAGTCCCACATCAGGCTCCCTGCTCCGCGGGAAGCCTGCTTCTCCCTCTCCCACTCCCCCTGCTTGTGTTCCTGCTCTCGCTGTCTCTCTCTGTCAAATAAATAAACAAAATCTTTAAAAAAAAAAAAAAAAAGAACACATTACTGATGCACTTGTCTGGTTGTTCACTCACAAACATATATAAGATCTTTCGTTACCTGGTGTAAATAATTATAAAAAACTAGCACCAACAGGGTGCTTATTACTATTTGCCAGGTACACGTATTAACCCGCAGGGTTGTAAATGCTCACAACCCTACGAAGTAGGCACAAATATGATTTACAGTTTACAGGTGAGGGAAAGCTGAGGCTCAGAGGTTAAGTGATTTACTCAGAGTCAAACATCTAATAGTGGCACAAGACCCAGGGTCAGTTCCACCTGAACCTGAGCTGAACCACTACGTGGGGGTTATTACACTGAGTAGGAATTAGAACGACAATGCATACTCCACGGAGGGTAGGGCTCTTTGCCTCGCTCACTGTTGTTCTTTCGGGCTCAGAACAGGACGCCCTGGACATGCTGAGTGATGAACCCAGTTAGGCCAGAAGCTTAGCACGGCAACTGAGAGAGGCCAAAACCCTTGTCCACTGCTCCAGCTTTGAATCCACACCGTTCCCCCAAGTGTCCTGCTTCTCTTCCTGGGAATGGGCTGCTGCCTGTCGGGACTGCCCGCTTCCTCCATTCCTTTTCCCCATCCGGCTAAGTCATCGCCGGTTCCAAGCGGCTTTCCCTGACTAGCGAGGTTTACATCCTCTGCGATTTACTGCATCTTCCTTAACCCTTTCTGTCTGCTGGACTGCTGGGCTCTCCCAGGACTGCGGCTCGGTCTTCTTTATTCACCCTTCCGTCCCGTGGACGTTTGCCGTGTCCTCCAAAACGCGGACGCATCCGTGTCCGCGGACCCCTGGCCTCCCCGCCCCCCCCAACCTGTGGCTTCCCCGCACATCCGTCCTCTCCTCCCCCGGGAAGGCTTTGCGGGCCGACGTTCTCCTCTCTGCGGGTGGTGCGACTCCCAAGTTTTACGGGTTTCGCGTCCTCCAAGCGAGCGACCTTTCGTGAGGGGCAAGCACACCGGCCCCAGATGACTGTCCGAGAAACGTCCCTTCCTACAGCCCGAAGCGGGCGACCACGCCAGACCCGCTGCGCGTTCCGGACCCCGTGGGGAGCGACACCACTCCAGCCGGGGCACGGGAACCTTCCCCCACCCCCGCCCCCGCCGCGCCCCGGGCCGGCCCCCGCCCCTGCGCACTGCCCGACCTCCGCCCCGGCGCCCGCCCCGCCGCGAGCCCGGCCGCCGCGCTGCCGCCTCACAATGGCCGGGGGCCGCCTCACCGCGCGCAAGGATCCCGGCCACGCGCGCTCCCCGCCCCCACCCGCCGCCTGCCCGGGCCCGGGCCTTCGCCCACCCTCCACGTTACCGTCGCGGCACCCCTGACACGGGGCAGAGAGAGGCGCAGCCAGCCGTTCTGGTCGCGGCCCCACCGTCGGTCGGACGGGGGCGCCGGGCGGTCGTCGCGCAGGGACTACTTTCCCTCCCGCGGAGGGACTACTTCGCGGAGGCATCGGCGTGGCGGCGCGCACGGCATGGCGGCGGCGGCGGCGCGCCAGAGGTAGAGGGACGCCGGCCCGCTCAGGCCTCGGCGCGGCCTACACGCTTCGCTCGCCCGCTCCCGCCCCGCGCCCCGCGCCCGGCCATGGCGGAGCCCTCGCCCGCCCGACGCCCGGTGCCCCTCATCGAGTCGGGTAAGACGCGCCGTCCGCGCCCTCCCCGCGGCGCCCCCAGCCCGGCCCCGGCCCCCTCCCCGCCGCCGCGCCCGCTCTTGACCCGACTCCCCGTCTTCCCGCAGAGCTGTACTTCCTCATCGCCCGGTACCTATCGGCCGGCCCGTGTCGGAGAGCCGCCCAGGTGAGTGCGGGCCCCGCGGGCGGCGGCGGGGGCCTCCGCGTCCCGGCCCCGACCCCGCCGCCGCCTGGGTCGCGGGTGGAGGGCGCCGGGTGCACCCGGGTGCCCCCCGCCCTGCTAACTGCGCGTCTCGTCGGCTGCAGGTGCTGGTGCAGGAGCTGGAGCAGTACCAGGTCTGTGCTTCGTGGCGCCCGCCGCGCCCGCCCCGCCGCGTCCCCTCCGTGCCCCCTCCCTACCGTGCCGGGGCCGCTCGCCCAGCTCCCCACCCTAGCCCACCCCGCCGCCCCCCGCCTGGCCCGCGGCCCCCCGCCCGGCCCCGCGCGGTGGTCACTCGTGTGCGTCTCGTGCCTTTGCAGTTGCTGCCGAAGAGGTTGGACTGGGAAGGCAACGAGCACAACAGGAGCTACGAGGAATTGGTGAGATTTTTGACATTTCCATCCCCGTGTTTCCGAGCACCCGCTCCCCGCCCCCTTGTCGGGGCTCCTGCTCGTGGGGCGAAGTGGCCGAGCGCTGCTCGGGGGCGACCCCGGGAGAGCGGGACTCCCTCGGCAGGTTTTGTTTTGTTTTGGGGCGGCCAGGTTTGTTTTGGGAGGAAACGGCCCAGGGGGGGTGGCTGGCGGGAGGTGGGGGCGACCCTGCGCCTCGGTTTGCGGTGGGGTGGGTCCCCAGGTGCGGCTGCCTATGGTGAGAGCCGGGGGCGCGCGTGCGCGCAGGCTAGGGTGGGGGCGGGGGAGGCGCCAGCCACTCAGCAAGTTGCTCTCATCCTTCTGTTTTCGTACCCGACTTGTAACTCAACCTCTGATTGGTGTTCTCTCTTTTGCCCCGCCCAGCTCCTCTAACCACTTGTTCCCTAGGAATAGAATCGTTGGTGTCTGAAAGGTGGAGAAATGTTCTTCTCTTTAGCGTGTTTTCTTTCCCCCCAGCAGCGTCATAAAAATCTTGCTGTTGTGACAGTATGCCACTTCTCCAGTACTTTTGCTCCTTTAAACTGTATAATTTTTGTTCAGTGCCTTAGAGAACTTATTTTGATGAATTTTTGTGTTGACCTTGCTGTACGTAACTTAACGTAGGCCCTAACTGTGCAGTTTCTCCGTTTAGAGCACCATTAGCGTAGATTATGCTTCTCTTTTCATTGCACCTTGTCAACTTTTTGAGTTGCTCTCACAATATAGAATTAGGTTTTGCCCACTGGTTTGTCGTATGAAATAAAACAATCTTTAGGAAAATATTTTTGCCGACTTGTGTATTAGGAGAAAGGATTTCGTTAGTTGCCAGGCTGTATCAGCATCTTGTATGAGCAAAACAATGAGGACAAAACAAAAACTCCTGAGTGATCTATTACCACAGTTCTAATACTTGTGATAGAATTTGGTAGTAGGATACGATCACTTCTTGGATTAAACAAAATGACAAAAAGTAAACGGGGATTTGTCATCTGTATACGAACAGTTAAGTATTATTGACAAAGTCTGGAGAAAGGATTTTATTTCAGTCATCAGTTGTAATATTTACTGATGCAGAGTTTTTTGAAGCAAAAACTGAAAAGTGAATAGTATTTCCAAGAAAGTTCTAAAAATTCTGTATCATGACGGAATTGAATATGTTATTTTGATATTTTAAGTCTAGGAAACGTTTAAAGGACTACTTGTTTTACACCTTCTGGTGAGAGAAAATAGTGTTATCAGGGAAGCAGAAGAGCATTCTTGACAGTGCAGTTGTACTGTGGAAGAGATAATTGTGTAAATTTTGAGATGCTGTAACTACTGGAAAACTTTTTAAATATTACATTTTTGGCTTCTCTGTTAGAATCACTTAAAATCGTACTTAAAATTCTGCTTAGAATCACCCCAGATCTCTGTGATGCATTCCTGTGGTGTGGCTATGAGCCAGGTCATCTCTCCTCACCTGCTCGTGGGCTCTGGTGGATATCGTCTTTGTCCTTTGCCTTCCCCTGCCTCTACCCTCTCCTAGCTCTTAAGTGACAGAGGATGAGCTTCCTTTTTTGTTTTTTTAAAAGACTTTATTTATTTATTTGACAGAGAGAGAGCGAGAGCAGGAACACAAGCAGGGGGAGTGGGAGAGGACGAAGCAGGCAGGCTTCCTGCCGAGCAGGGAGCCTAATGCGGAGCTCAGTCCCAGGATCCTGGGATATGACCTGAGCTGAAGGGAGACCCTTAACGACCGAGCCTCCCAGGCTGAGCATCTTGTATCCAGGAGAGTTATTTTTTGTCAGAGTACGTGAGTAGCTTCTAGTTCTCCAAACCAAGTCCGCTTTTCTTTCTATTAAGCAGTATTTCAGATATACGCAAATCGGAATAATGAAATGAACCCCGTTGCCAATTTGCTAACTTTACTTTGGCTTCTATTTGAAGTTTTTTTTTTATAAATTACCAGTGGAAATCTTCAAACAGAAAAATAAGAGAATGAACCATCCACTAGGTACTCCTTATCAGCCTCAGTGATTAGCAAAGAATGTTGCATCTGTTAGCTCCCTGCCTTAGGCTGTATTGTTGTAAAGCAAATTCCAGACATTCCTTTATTTTATTGGTTAATATGCTGAAGTATTTTAAAGTAAATCTAGACATTATATTTCCTCTCTCAATTCTGCTGGGTGCATCTCGAAAAAATTGAAGGACTGTTTCTTAGACCATCACAGTGCCAGTGTCTGTCACACTTATAATCCAAAGAATAATATTCTTTGATAGTATATATGTAGGTTTATTTATATATTCAGACCATATTCGGCTTTCCTCTTGTTCCTTGGATTTCTTTTTATATTTAGTTAGAATTGGGCTTTAGGCAAGGTCCATGTGTTGTACTGAAATTATTTTCCATCTCTTTTTTTTATCTTCCATAGTTTTTTCTCCTGTGCCATTGATTTCCTGAAGAGACTTGAGTTGGTCTGTAAAGTGTTTCACCTTCGGGTTTTGTCTGATAGTTTCCTTATGCTGTTTGTTTCGTTGTGCTGTTAAATTTACTCCTTTTTCTCAGGAGTTCTCATTCTTGGATCAGAGCTATCTGGGAAGCTTTATAAAATCTGAATACTCAGGCCATGTCTCACACCAGTTAAATCAGAATTATTGTATTGGGACTGGACGTTGGTAGTTTTTGAAACCTTTCAGGTGATTCCAGAGTCACTGCTTACAAAGTTACAGTTTATCTAAGACTTGGGACCATGTTGTCACTCCAACCTGTACTTTGGAAGCGAGAGTATTTTTGCTATTTCTTGAAAGAATTGAGACTACTTAATCTGCATTAGCAGTTGGGCCTGTGAATTCGTAAAATGTAATTGGGGTATTCATGATTTATAGGTGGTGAACATGAAAGAGGAAGAAGGAAATAGAGCTATGGCATGGGGCACAGGAGTGAAGAAGGACCTAATTTGTAAAGAAGGAGCATGTTTAAATAAGGCAAACGTGATTCAAGAGACTTACTAATTGAGTAACATGCAATTTTGTAGGTCACCGTCTTCCTTAACCAGTAAATAAAATCAGGAAATCCTTACATTGGAGCCTGTTGTTAGAGAATTTATTGTCACTATGCTTTTTCTTTCAAATAATGTATAATAGACCTTTAAGGAAAACACTTAAAAGTTACTTGTATTGAAATACAAAGTTTAGGGGCGCCTGGGTGGCTCAGTCTTTAGGCGTTTGCCCTCAGCTCAGGTCATGATCCCAAGGTTCTGGGATTGAGCCCCGCATTGGGCTCCCTGCTCGGCAGGAGGCCTGCTTCTCCCTCTCCCACTCCCCCTGCTTGTGTTCCCTCTTTTGCTGTGTCTCTCTCTCTCAAATAAATAAATAAAATCTAAAAAAAAATACAAAGTTTATTTGTTGTACGTAGTCATTTTTCTTAAATCTTTAAGTTCCGTTATAAATCTTACAGATGCAGTGATTCTAGAAATATTATTTTTATTTTTTTACTGACATTTAATTTGTAATGAGAATTTAATCTTAAGATACTTGACATCACTTGTCTTAATTAAATTTCTTTGAGCATTTCACACTGTGATACAAATATATGATTATTTCAGCCACCTCAGGATTGCAAACTTTGTCAAATCTAAGTTTCATCTTTCTAAAAGTTAACACTTGTAAATATTTTAAATTTATTGTAATAAATTACTCTTTCAATCTACCAAATATAAAAATAGTTCAGTCATTACAAAACCTTATTATTACCATTTGGTTATTACTATTAATTACTATTTGGTTACTGCTAACCAAAGTAGTTGCAGAATAATTTGCACAAATGTATCAATACATTTTTCTATTTCTCATCTCTTACTTGTCCATCTCCCTCAGTTATGAATTAACTCCCCAAACCAAGGGGGAGAGCAATATTACCACTGTGAGCTCCCTACTGGATTAAGGAATTAAGTTATGGTAGATTATAAACCAAGATTTAGAATTTGGGGGCACTGTTAGATAGACTCTACTTGAGGGTCGAGTTGAGCCTTTTTTATAGCAAGGCTACTTATTTACCTATTTCAAACAAAAACAGCTTTGTATTGGATAATCGTATTGCAACTGACTCCACTATTTTATTTTCATTGTGGGATACTGACGCAGCTTATCTCTTTCCTGTCTGAATTCTGCATTTCGTTTGTAGTTGACTATAGAGATGTATCGTTCTATAGGCATTTCATTGATAATTTGGGACCACTAAATGATCATGGCAGTGTGATGGCAAGTTACAGTCTAGCAATATAGCGGTATAGAAATTACAAACTTGGATTTTTGTGCCATGTATTTGGGCTGTAATCCTGACTTGTGCTGCTTTCTAGATGTTCTAATCTCTACCTGAGTGAGTTTCTTGATGTTTGTAACAAAGATAATAGTAATTTTTTAAGATTTTATTTATTCATTTGAGAGACAGAGAAAGAGCATGAGCAGGGGGAGAGGGAGAAGCAAGACTCCCCAGTGAGCCGGGAGCCTGATGTAGGGCTCGATCCCAGGACCTGGAGATCATGACCTAAGCCGAAGGCAGATGCTTAACCATCTGAGCCACCCAGGCGCCCCAAAGATAATAGTAATTGTATCAAAGCATTGTTGTAAACATGGGGAAAAAATGGCTTATGATGCCGGGCATGCAGTAATAATCAGCACTTAAAGTAATGATGTTGGTAGGATGACAAGCCTAATTGGGTAGACTTCCCCTTTGCTTAATTTATATTTGTAGGGTCTAAATGAGATAACAAAATACAGTCTCTTTTGGCTCTTATGTCTGAATGAACGAAACCTGGTATTTACCCATTTATGGGTGAACGCGTTGTGGGCTGGGGAACTTATGGTGTCTTCTAGCTAGGTGCAGAATAATGGTAGTGGTGTTGTTATCGATGAGTCCCTTAGCCTTGACTGTGCTACCGTATTTACGTAAGCTCTCCATGCCGCGTAGGGCTTGAACTCCATATCCTGAG